GCTCCTCCTCCTCCTCCTCCTCCTCCTTCGCCTGCTCATCCTTCTCCTTCTCCTCCTCCTTCTTCTCCTCCTTCTTCTGAAGCAGGCCATTTTCGATGCGTCGCCGTCATTTCCGATCACTCTTGCTTCCTGCTTCGTCACTTGAGGATGAGCGTCATGCGTGCACACTGCCTGCTGCCCCGCCTTCTCACAATTGGGCCCTCCGGCGGGCACCTGGCCGCACTTCGTTGCGAGTCGTGTCCTCCAGCGTGTGCATCTCCCGCGTCCGGCAGGGCTCCGGGAGGCAGCCAGCGCCCCAGCCAGGCCAAGACGCATTTGGAAGTCCTCAGGTGGCATCCAGCGCCACAAGACGGCCAAGGATACCCCAGCAGGTCCTTGGCATGCCTGCGCACACCCTGGCAGAAGCATCAGCGCTGGCAGCTGGTAGCAGCATCCAGCAGCAGCAACCAGCAGCAGCAGCAGCAGCAGCAGCAGCAGCAGCAGCAGCAGCAGCAGCAGTCAGCAAGCAGTCAGCAAGCAGCAAGCAGCCTTCTCGCGTCCAGGCCCTCTGGCGACCATTCGGCCACACTGCGTTGCAGTTGGCTTCCTGCGCACCTCACCGCCACCATGTGGATAGTCTTTCGGCAGCATGTCCGCCGCCCCCCGAGAACCACTTCGGAAGGATGTCATTCAGGAGGAAAAGAAACACACAGACACAATGAATCCTCGATTTCCCAGAAAATATGGGAAAATATGGGAAGTGGGCGGGAAGACAGAAACCCAGAAAATATAGGAAAATATGAGGAATATGTTTATTTGTGTGTATTTATTTGTGTGTCCCAGGGCCCCTTCAGGTCATGGACGGAGTCCGCGGGTCGCCCCAGGCGCATCCCAAGACAGCCCCAAGACAGCCCCAAGAGAGCCTCAAGAGAGCCCCCAACAGATGTTACAAAACACGCGCCCTCTTGCAGCATCCGTCGGGTGCTTTTGGGGGGGCCTCTTGAAGGGGCCATCTGCGGGCCCTCTCGAGCCCTTCTTGAGGGGCAAGTTTCGAGGTTCTCCGGGTGCACCCAGAGCCTCTTGCAAGGCTGCAGGACGGCCCAAGAGAGCTGCAAGAGACAGCGCCGGGAACGCTCCAAGACGGCCCAGGAGGCGCCCAAGACGGCCCAGAGATGGCCCCGAGACGGCCCCGTCGCGTTCCCCTGCCATGGCACCTGCGGATTTGCTCCACGGGTACACCAGTCACTATCCTATATAGTGGGGGTCTTGAAGAAGGAACCCTTTTCGCCGGGGAGGGGCTCGGGGTTCCTTGATTGCTTCAGAGTTTGCCTCGGGTCTTCCTGATGGCTTCCCTCGGAAATCGAGGTTGAACTTATGGGAAAAAGGGGCCTCGTTCCTCATCTAAGGGTTCCTTAGGCCAACGCCTGCACAACACCGGGCGCAGCGCGTGCCAGAAGGACACGCCTGTGTCTGCGCTCGCCCGGGCCGGCGGCGGCACCTCCTCGGCATACCGCTCGTGGGGCGGCGCCGCCCTGCAGCCGCGGGAGAGCCCCGCGGGTGCCCCGCGGGGAGGCCCCCGGAGGGCTCCCACAGACTGTCTCGACTAGACGTAAGAGTGACCTTTCGCCGGAGTGACCTTTGGTGTGGGCACAGATGGGTCCCCAGATGGCTGAAAATGAAGCAGGAGCAGCGGCTTGCGCGCCCAGGTTTGGTCCCCACGCGGCCCCCAAAGACTGTCCGAGAAGGCCCTTACCGGGTTCCACCAGGCTCCCTGATGGCCTCCAAGAGGGCCACGATAAAACAGGGCCAGGATCGGGATAGATCGCTCCAGAGCGTTCCGGAGCGCTCTCAGAGCGTTCCGGAACGCTCTGGAGCGGCCGCGGCGCCCAAGACATCCTCCAAACCCGCCGATTCTCAGAGATTTCGAGTTATCCCGATCCGATTTTGTCCCGATCTTCGCGTCGTTTTACCCAGACTGTCCGAGAAGGCCCTCACCAGGTTCCACCAGGCTCCCTCATGGCCTCCAAGAGGGCCACGAGGCCGCACAGCTATCGATGCTCTTTCGGCTTGTGTGCTGCTTCCTCTTGCGGTCGCGCCTGCAGCCAGAAGACGCCCAGCCCACGTCGAGAAGCCTCCCAAAGATCGTCCGGAGGGCGCCCGGGGAGCGCCCGAGGGTGCCCCCCTACGACGGCCCCGGACGCCGTCAGCATCATCGTGCAAACAGCCCACCCTGAGGCAAGGAGCAGCAGCAAGGGCACTCTGACCACTGGCATTCGTGGACGGGATGGTGATCACAAACCCATCAAACGAAAATCTTAACCGTACGTAAAACAGAACGTAAATACACAACGTTAGTAAAACACAATACACAACGTAAATACACAACGTCAGCAAAACATAATACACAGCGTAAATACACAGCAGCACGCATATACACAGCGTAAAAACACAACAGCACGCATATACACACGGTAAAAACACAACAGCCCAAGTCTCTACTACATTGCAGGGCCCAGTGCGTGCCAGAAGGGCGCAGGCTCCAATGGATCAAAACCGCCCCGGGCTGGCCCCGGGCTGGCCCCGGGCCGCCCCGGGCCGCCCAGGCAGGCTCCAGGACATGTCGAGAGGGCCCCCAGAAGCCCCCAAGACGGCCCCGGAGAGCCCCGGCACGCTTAAAGACGGGCCCAAGACGCCCGAGAGTCGCCCCAGACGGCCCAAGAGGCGTCCAAGACGCCCGAAGAGGCCCCCAAGAGGCCTCCCAAGAGGGCCCCGAGCGACAGAAATCGTCGATTTCTACTGTGTTTTTCTATGGTTTCGGCCTCCTCGCCTCTTCGGCTTCCCGACGCTCCAAGACGGCCCAAGAAGTCCCCCCGACCGCTCCAAGACGGCCGAAGAGGACCCCAAGAGAGCCCCAAGACGGGCCAGGAGGGCCCCAAGACGGTCCCAAGACGCCCCAGGACGGCCCCAGGACGGCCCAGGAGGCGCCCAAGACGGCCCAAGAGGCACCCAAGACGGCCCCAGGAGCGGCCCAAGACAAGGCCCCCCAGGTGCGGCCCAAGACGGCCCAAGACAGCCCAAGAGGCGCCGAGGCGGGCCTCAGACGGCCCCAAGACGGCCCAAGAGGCACCCAAGACGGCCCGAGAGGGCCCTAAGACCCCCCTGGGAGGCCCAAAAGAAGGCCGAAGAGGCTCCGAAACGGCCCCCACGAAGCCTTCAGTGGCTTCAGAATTCCCTCCAGGAGCGGGGGAGCGGACGAGAGGCGACAGGCATATCGCAGGCAAAAACGCCCCAAGAGATCCCCAAACGGCCCCCACGAAGCCCTACGTGGCCTCAGAATTGCTTCCAGGAGGGGGGGAGCGGACGAGAGGCGACCGGCATATCGAAGGCACAAAAGAACAATGTTGGACGCTCCGAGGGCCTTCGATGTTTCTCTGTTGGGGAGAGTCGTCGTAGGATCGACGATTGCCGACCGAGGGCATGGAGAATCCAGCGAAAGAGGAGAAGAAGGTGGAAGAGGAGGAGGAGGAGGAGGAGGAGGAGGAGGCGGAGGAGAAGGAGAAGGAGGGGGAGGAAGCAGCAGGACCTCCGAGCAGCAGCAGCAGCTGAGGAACACAGGAGAGCAGGAGGTCCTGGAGGGTGTGGAGAACGCCTTCAACTGGCCACGTCGAGCTGATGTCGTGGACGGAGTCCACAGGTCTGCCCTAGTCTCTACTACATTGCAGGGGCACGTGCGTGCCAGAAGGGCGCAGGCTCAAATGTCTCAAAACCGCCCCGGGCTGGCCCCGGGCCGCCCAGGCAGGCCCCAGGACATGTCCAGAGGGCCCCAGAAGCCCCCAAGACGGCCCCGGAGAGCCCCAGCACGCTTAAAGATGGGCCCACGACGCCCGAGATTCGCCCCAGGCGGCCCAAGAGGCGTCCAAGACGCCCGAAGAGGCCTCCCAAGAGGCCTCCCAAGAGGGCCCTGAGCAACAGAAATCGTCGATTTCTACTGTGTTTTTCGATGTTTTCGGCCTCCTCGCCTCGTCGGCTTCCCGACGCTCCAAGACGGCCCAAGAAGCCCCCCCGACCGCTCCAAGACGGCCGAAGAGGACCCCAAGAGAGCCCCAAGACGGGCCAGGAGGGCCCCCAGAGGGTCCCAAGACGCCCCAGGACGGCCACAGGACGGCTCAGGAGGCGCCCAAGACCGCCCAAGAGGCACCCAAGACGGCCCGAGAGGGCCCTAAGAGCCCCCCCAGGAGGCCCGAACGAAGGCCGAAGAGGCTCCGAAACGGCCCCCACGAAGCCTTCAGTGCCTTCAGAATTCCCTCCAGGAGCGGGGGAGCGGACGAGAGGCGACAGGCATATCGCAAGCAAAAACGCCCCAAGAGATCCCCAAACGGCCCCCACGAAGCCCTAAGTGGCCTCAGAATTGCTTCCAGGAGGGGGGAGCGGACGAGAGGCGACCGGCATATCGAAGGCACAAAAGAACAATGTTGGACGCTCCGAGGGCCTTCGATGTTTCTCCGTTGGGGAGAGTCGTCGTAGGATCGACGATTGCCGACCGATGGCAGCGAATCCAGTGGAGGCCCAAGAGGCCCCCAGGAGCCCAAAAGAGATCCCCAAGAGGTGCCACGGGGCTTAAAAACTGCTTCGCAGCGAGGGGGGCGGACGAGGAGATCGCCTCAGGAGGTTTTGGACGGTTTTGGGCCTCAAAATCGTCCGCTTTACGAAGGTTTTGGAAGGATTTTGGCCTTCTCGCCTTTTCCGCTTTCCGACGCTCGAAGCCGGCCCAAGAGGCCTCCAAGAGCGCCCCAGAACGGCCCAAGAGGTTTCCAAGAGCGCCCCAAGACAGCCCAAGAGGGCCCCAAGACGACCCAAGAGACGCTCAAGACGGCCCACGAGGGCCCGAAGACAGGCCCAAGAGGGGGCCAAGAGGGGGACCACGGACCAAAAATCCGAGCCTTCCGCCCCAAGAGGGCGCCAGGAGACCCAAACAGGCCCCCAAGAGGCCCCAAGGGGCCGCCAAGAATCCCCCGAAGAGGCCCCAGGAGGCTCCCAAGGAGCCCAAACGAGGCCCCTACAGAGGCCCCAACAGCTTCCAAAATGGCCCCGAAGAGGCCTCGAGCCCGCCTCCGAGCTTCCTCGCCGCGAGGGTGCCAACACGGCCCCAGACCGGCCCAGGACGGCCCAAGGCGCGCTCAAGACGGCCCAAGACGATTCCAAGACGGTCCCAGGAGGGTGCGCCCAGGACGGCCCAAGGACGCGCCCGTTCGAGGCCTCAAGACGGGCCAAGATGGCAAGAGAGTCCCAGCTGGCAAAAATCGTTAATTTTCCATTGTTTACTGTTACACCCTTTGCGTTTCCCGCCGTTTCGGCGGTCCGATGCACCAAGAGGCCCCAGAAAGTCCCAGGAGGGTCCGAGGAACCGCCCAGGAAGGCCCCAAGACGGGCCAAGACGGACCCAGCACAACCCAAGGCGCGCTGCGACGGCTCAAGACGGCTCCAAGACAGCCCCAAGAGGGTGCCAACACGGCCCCTGCTGGGCCCAGGACGGCCCAAGGAGGCGCACAGGAGGGGCCCAAGACGACTCCAAGGCGGCCTCCTCACGGTCCCAGACGGCTCCAAGACAGCCCCACGAGGACCCCGATGGGCCCAGGACGGCCTACGGACGCGCCCATGAGGGGCCCACGACGAACCAAGACGGCCCCATCAGGGCAAACGGCGCCCTCAAGACGGGCCTAGACGGCTCCAAGACGGCCCTTTGAGGGAGCCAACGCGGCCCCACACCCTTCGGGCGCACACTTGGGGGGGCTGGGAGCTTGCGACAAGTCTCCCACATTCATTGTCCTGCCCCATTCTGTTCGCCTGGAGGCCTCCTCCAACCCTGTGGGCGAACAAGAGGAATCCCAGCGGGACGCCAACCCTGGGGCCCGTGGGCCCCGCGCCGCTTGGGCAGAAGACGAACGCCGGGTCTGACAGGCCAGCTACCGCCCCCCTTTGCCCGATATGCTGTGCCATTCTGTTCCCCCAGGGGCCTTGGCAAACTCTTCGGGCCAAGCAGACCGGACCCCTGGGACAGCAGCCAATTGATATGACCCTGGGACCTCTCCGCATTCTTCGGACGAGCATCTGGGGGGCCCAGGAGATTCGGACATGTCTTCCCCATTCCTTGCCCTGTCCCGTTCTGTTCGCCCGAAGGCCTCCACAGACCCTCTGGGCGAACAGAATGGGACATGGCGAACAAACCCTCCCGTTGGCGGTGATGCGACTGGATCGCACCATCAAGGCGCGCCCGGAGGTGATGGCCGACCCAACAGCGGTTTCTCTTAAGAGTTCACTGGATTTCAAATTTTCTTGAAGCTCTCTTGGGCCCTCCCTGTAGATCCTTGCGAGCCTCCCCGGCGCTTTCGGTGGCTTTCCCCGATGGCCTCCCGAGCCCTTCCCCGAGCGCTCCTGAGACGCCTCAGATGGGCTTCGACTTCGACGCACATCCCCGAGAGACTTCGAAACTGTCCTCAATAGGAGGGGGGTGAACGAGCAGTGCGCTGGGCCAATCTGCTGCAGCGCTGCAAGAGCTCGGACACGAAGGCGCGGTCTCGCTGCCGCCGCCCGAGCCGCCGCCGTGTTTGTAGATTTTCGGTACAATCTGCGCCGTTCCTCCGAGAACCATTCCAGAAAGATGTCGTGGACGGAGTCCACGGGTCAGCCCTAGTCAGCTACAATGCCGGGATCAGTGCGTGCGAGAAGGGCGAACAATGGCAGCGGGCCCTGGCGCTGCTCAGCGAGATGTGGAAGGCGAAGGTGTTGCCCAACGTCATCAGCTGCAACGCCGGGATCGGCGCCTGCGAGAAGGGCGGGCAGTGGCAGCGGGCAGTAGCGCTGCTCAGCGAGATGTGGGAGGCGAAGCTGGAACCCGACGTCATAAGTTACAGCGCCGGGATCAGCGCCTGCCAGAAAAGCAAGCAGTGGCAGCGGGCCCTGGCGCTGCTCGACGAGATGCGGGAGGTGAAGGTGTTGCCAAACGTCATCAGCTACAGGCTCGCAGTCAACGCGTGCGAGAAGGGCGGACAGTGGCAGCAAGCTCTCTTCATGCTCAGGAGCATGTGCTTGAGCAGGTTCGATGCTGACTTCATGGCCTACGGGATAACAGCTGGCATGTGCGAGCAGGGCGGGCACTGGAAGCAGGTGCTGTCGTTATTCGGGGAGGTGCGCGGCCTGCTCGCAATGGGATGATGCAACGTATGCTGCAGTGTGTCCTCAAGGCGCGCCGCACAAAGCAAGCCTCTCAGCTATAATGCTTGGATCAGCGAGTGCGACATCGGCGGGCAATGGCAGCGGGTTTGGCCGCTGCTGGGCGAGAGGTCGGAGGCGACGCCCGAACCCGACTAGATCATCTGCACTACAGTTCCCTGCGAAGCGCGCGCGAGGTTGGAGCAATTTTTCCCAGCCATCCCGTGGTGTTGGGTCTTCGTTTTGTGGAGACAGCTCCCCGCGTTCCTCCTTCCTCTTCCTCATTCCTCCTCCCTCTCCTCCCTCCTCCCATCCCTGCTTCTGCTCCACCGAAGGCCCCAGCGGCAGGGCCCGCATGGCGTACCCGCGCCCGATTCAGCACACCTCTCAAACATTCCGTGGCCCCTATAAGGAGGGCCTCACAGAAGGCCACAGCGGCAGGGTCCGCAAGGCGTACCCGCACCCGATTCGACACACCTTTCACACGCTCCGTGGCCCCATAGGGAGCTCCACTGAAGGCCCCAGCGGCAGGGTCCGCATGGCATAATTACCCGCAACCGATTGTGAAGGCCTGACGGCCAGTGCCGCCGACCCTGAAAGACATCGACGACGACCAGGAGGGGGAGGAGGAGAAGAAGGAGGAGGAGGAGGAGGAGATAAGGAGGAGGAGGAGGATGAGGAGGAGGAGGAGGAAAAGGACTCCCCCCTTGGATCACCCCCATGGGGAGGAGGACCGGAGGAGGACTGGCGTGGGAGAGGGGAGGGGAGGGGGAGAAGGACCCCCAGGGACGGATGCGTATCTGACTCCGCTCCCACCCCTTGGGATTTCTCCCAACCTGGAGAGGAGAACCCGAGGAGGACCGGCGCGCCGGAGAAGGACCGACGTGGGAGAGGAGGACCCCCAGAGGCGATCCGCGAATCTGACCCCCTCCTGGGACCCCCCCCCCGAGGAAGGGACAAAGGAAGGGGCTTCCCTTTGACGTAATGAGGACGTGGATGGAATTCTCTCAAGCTGCGAACCCGTTCCCCGAACGAGGAAGGGTGCTCTCTCTCTCTCTCTCTCTCTCTCTCTCTTTCTGAGAGTCTCTCCCCCGACAGGAGGGGACGAAAGAAGGCTCCCCGTCGACGGGACTGGACAGACACCCCACACACGCCGACAGGGCTAGGGAGCTCCACCGAAGGCCCCAGCGGCAGGGTCCACATGGCATGCCCGCAACCGATTCAGCACACCATTCACATGTTTCGCGGTTGCATCGGGAGTTCCACTGAAGGCCCCAGCGGCAGGGTCCACGTGGCGTACTCGCGTTCGATTCAGCACACCCCTCACACGCGTCGTGGCCCTGCAGGGAGCTCCACCGACGGCCCCGGCGGCAGGGTCCGCATGGCATGCCCGCAACCGGTTCAGCCTCAGACGTTTCGTGGCCCCGGAGGGAGCTCCACCGAAGGCCCCAGCGGCAGGGTCCGCATGGCGCACCCGCAACTGACTGAGCACATCCCTCGGACGCTTCGTGGCCCGATAATAAGGAGCTCCACTGAAGGCCCCGGCGGCAGGGTCCGCGTGGCGAGCCTGCACCCGGCCCAGCACGCACCCCTCACACGCTTCGTGGCCCCGCAGGGAGCCCCAGCGAAGGCACCTGCGGCAGTGTCCGCCTGGAGAACCCGCCACCCGACCGCGACGACGACGACGACGACGACGACGACGACGACGACGAAAGCCGAAGACGACGACCACGACGACGACGACGACGACGACGACGACGACGACGATGACGACGACGACGTCGACGACGGCGGCGGCGGCGAAGGGCCCCATGGGGACCTGGACCGGATGCTCCAGCGACGGGTTCTGCATGGCGCACCCGCGCCTTCTTCGGCTCACCCCTCACACTCTTCGCGGCCCCACGGGGAGCTCCACCGCAGGCCCCAGCCGCAGGGCCCGCACGGCGCACCCGCATCCGCTCCGGCTCACCCCTCACGCGTTTCGTGGCCCCACGGGGAGCTCCACCGAAGGCCCCAACGGCAGGGTCCGCACGGCGTACCCGATCCGATCCGGCTCACCCCGCACACGCGCCGTGGCCCCATGGGGAGCTCCATCCAAGGCCCGAGTGGCAGGGTCCGCATGGCGCACCCGCCCCATGTTGGCACCCCCCTCACTATTCCCCCCTGCTTCTTTCCATTTGCTTCGCGGTACCGCAGCTTCATATGGTTGGGCCCTTTGCCAGGATAAGTTGTCGCGGCAATTTGGGTCTAATACGCGGTCGGGGCAGCTGAGAGATGCTTCGGGACCAAATTAGGCACAACAGGAACAGGCAAGGCGCGGAGGGTATAGGTTGAAACAGAGTGCTAGCTCCAAGGCCTCCGCCCCGAGAGGCATCCGAGAGAGCTCGAAGAGGTGTCGGAGACTGCCTCCGTGCCCCGCAAGACGACCCTTGAGGTCGGATGACCCCCAAGAGGGTCGTCCACGGAGGTCCCCAGGGAGAGGCAAGTCGTCAAAATCCACATGCTTGATTGGCACAACAAGAAGCCCCACATAAGGCCCCAAGAAGGCCCAAAGTTGCCCCCTAAGGCGCTCTATGATCGATCCAGGAGTCATCATACCTCACACCTCGCTCCTTGCTCGCTCCTTGTCGATTGCTCCTCGCTCCTCGCCCCTCTCTCCTCGCTCTGTGTTGCTCTGTTTTCGCTCCTCATCGCATTCCCTGTCCCTCGCTCTTCCCTCTTGTCTGCTCGCACGTCCCCTCCTCCCCCCCATGACCCTCTTCCGCTCTCCCCCGTTGCTCTTTGTTTATCGCTTCTCCCTCCTCAGTCCTCTCACGAGCAGCATACTGCGTAAGCAACCATACGCAGCGCCAACCATGACCATGCAGCATCAGGCACCAACAGCGGACAGCGGCAGCACAAAGCAAGCAGCAACAGCGGGAGTGCACAACTGCGGCGAGCGGCATCATACAGCAGACAGAGACCTTACAACAACCAGCACCTGACAGAACTGGCAATCAGCAGCACCCTTCAGGCACGAGCAACAACTGCAAGCAAGCAACAGCGGCACGTATTCCCAGCAAAACGCACCAGCGACAGCAGCCACTAGAACAGTAGCAGGCACGCAGCATCAAGCAGCACCACCGAGCAGCAGCACTCATCAACGCCAAGTCGCATCAAGCAGCAGCACACAAAGGCCGACGCCAGCCTGCAGTGGCAAGGCATCGCAATATGTACATATAGACTTGCAGCAAACAGCACCAAGCATCAGAAAGCGGCGGGAAGCGGCAACGAGCGGACGGGAAAACAATACATCAAAAACAGAGGTAGCAGTGGATCTTGCTAAAGGGATCAGGTTACCAGGCCGACTAGCAACCACGCAAGCAGGACAGAAGGCGATCTTACAGTGGAGGCCCATGCCAAGAAACACCCTGGTTGCCTCCAGGGTGCCCTGGGTTTCTTGGGTTTCGATAGTTTTGCTTTGGAAAATGCGACGTTCCCACCAACAAGTCAATGGACGTCCTGGGGTCTCCGGGCTGGGTTTCTTGTGGAAGGTTCCTTGTGGACTGGCTTCCACTGTACAAGCCAGCAAGCGACCCTAAGCTTTGCATGCGACCAAAGCTGTCGTAACCGATCGTCCACTGGCCAGCCCCGGTCAGCTACAGCGCTGGCACCAGCGCGTGCGCCAAGAGGAGGCAGTGGCAGCAGGCGCTGTGGCTCTGCAGCGAGATGACAAAGGTGAAGGTGGAGCCCACGGCGAATGCGAGGAAGGAGCAGGCCCTGCCGGTGCTCCGCGAGACGTGGGAGGCGAACTTGGAGCCTGCTGTCGTGAGCTGCATCGCTGGTGCCAGCGCGTGCGAGAAAGGGCCCGAGTAGCAGCAAGCATCACGCTTGTCCAGCGTGATGGTGGAGGCCGACGTGGAGTGGGACGTCCTCCTCAGGTTGACTGCTGGCGTCGGCGCGTGTAAGAACAGCGGGCGGTGGCAGCAAGCGTTGCCGCTGCTCAGCGGCAGGCAGGAATCCAGCACGGAGGCAGACGTCATCAGTTCTCTCGTGTGAAAGGCGGCCAATGGCACGGGCTGTCCTTGCTCCACGCGGTGTGGGAAATGAGGGTGGAGCCAGGCGTGACCAGCTTCAGCGCTGTGATCAGCGCCTGCGAGGCATCAACGCTGCAATCAACGCTTGTAGTCACCGCGTGCCTAGAGCCTCAGCAGACATCGAGGCAGGCTCACTCACGGTCCTTCTGCTGCTCTTCCTTCTGCTGCTGCTCCTCCTCCTCCTCCTGCGCCACCCTGCGCAGCCACTTTGGCCCAAGGAGGCGGATGTTGGTTCTGCTATATTCCAACGCAGTCGCAGCTGAGATGCCTGCGGCGAATTCCACAGAGCATGGCATAGATTTGCGTAGATGCTGGGCAGCCGGCCAGGACCTCTGGCTGGTGCCTCTCTCGCAGCGACCATCAAGCAGTATAGGGGCCACCAAAAGAGTCGAGTGCAGCGCTGCACCTGTTCCGCGAAGCCGCTTCGCACTGTGCGAAGCCGATGATCCGAACCAGTGCGATATAAAAAAACAGTGCTAAAAAACAAGTGTGATAGCAAACTCATTTATGTTCTACAGTCGTGGCCCTGAAGAAGGAACCCTTTTCGTTGGGGAGGGGCTCCGCGTTCCTTAAGTGTTTCACAGTTTGCCGCAGGTTTCCCTTATGCTTTCGATAGGAAGTCGAAGTTTAATTTATGGGAAAAAGGGGCCTCGTTCCTTATTTAGGGTTCCTTAGGTCAACGCCCCGACTGTAACAAACTCAGTTATGTTCTATCGCATTTGTTTTTTATCACCCTTGTTTTTGTTCTCACACCTGTTTTCTACAGTCGGCCCAGATTAGTAGGTCGACCCTGCCAGGTCAAGGGTGCCCTTGTGTCATGTGTCTGGCGACCCGTGCCTCCTGCATTCCTGTGGCAATGTGGCCCTGGGAAGGGTCTTGTGCCCTCTCGCGTGTCCTGTCCAATCGAGTCCGACTGCATTCTCTACCACACCTGTTTTTCTTATTACACATGTTTTTCTCACACCTGCTTTTTATCACACTTGTGTTTGGCCCCCCGCTCAGGCCGTACCAGGCGCCCTACTCCGTCTTCGGCCACGGCGGCGGCCAGCCGCCTCCGCCCGTCTTCGCCACCGCCTGGGTGCGAGGACCCGGCGCCGCGGGCGCTCGCGGACGAGCGCGCCCGCGCGGCGGGCGGCACCGGCTGCGACGGCGACGGCGGCATTCGGCGGCGAGCGAGGGCTTGGCATCGCTCGGGCGTGTGCATGTTTCCTTCGGCGAGGACCATCGAGGAGCATGCTGGATCACTTGGCGAAGAAGCCACGCACGAAACGAAAAAAGCACGGGGAATGGACGTCCGAGCGATGGCAAGAGGGGGGAAGCGAGGAGGGGCTGGCCTTCTCAGAGGTCTCGGAAGTTCCCCTGCCTGCTGAGAGGTTTCGGGAGCCTTCCCCGAAGACAGGGCAGACTTCTCAGAAGGGCCTCTGGGAGGTCCCGCCGCCGTCTGAGGAGGCCTTCTCCTTCTCATTTCCCCCCCCCTCGCTCGCCGCCAAGGCATGCGCCCAGGAAGGTTCGGCAGCAAATCGTGGGAGCCTCGCATGCCGTCTCGATTCCGTCTCCAGCGTCGAGGAGCGTCTGGCAATCAGCTTGGTTGCCTCGATACGCCCGTTTTGGAACGCATCGCGTCCCGCGTTCAAGACGTCTGTCAGTACATTGCGTGTTGGCTCCACGTATTGGACGTTTTGGCGAACGTATCGCGTCGGACCCACGTTTTCAGCCTGCGTGTCGAGCTCCTTATCCACACGCTACGCGTTGAGTGTTGCGTATCGGGGCAGCTAAGGTAATAAGTGAGATAGCGTCGATTTGGCGTCGATCACCGCCGACCTGCGTCGATTGGCGTCGACCAACAAGATGGTATGGGAGGCTCCCGTGCGTTGCCACCGATGGGTGTCCTGGGTCCAGAAGCGATTCGGTCCTCAGGCGTTTCTACGTTCTCTGGCCTGCCGGGGCTCTTCCCGGGCATCAGGGCCGCCAAAAGCGGTCTTGGGGGGGGGCGGTCATGTGGGGTCCGGGGCCCGTCCCCTCAGGATCCCCCTCAGGATCCCCCTCCTCCTCCTCCTCCTCTTCCTCCTCCTCCTCCTCGAGAAGAGGGAGCAGGGATTGCAAAGTAGAGCGGTCACGGCAGAGGAGGGGAGGGGTGAGAGGAGGAGGAGAGCAAGGCAGAGCAGATTGGAGAAGAGTTCCGAGCAAGAGTGCGAACACACGTGTATGTGTATGTGCGTGTTCGTGCGTGCGTGCATATTCATAAGTGTTTCCCTTTGCGCGCGCGCAGCTCCTTGCGAGCTCTTCGGGAAAGGACTGCTGGCCTGGCGCCGAAGCACGCTCTGAGCGTGCGCTGCCGCATTCGCAAATTGATACCGCACTGATCATCTACCTCGCCCTCGTCGAGTCGTGCTCTCTAATCCTCTCTCTCTCTCTCTCGCTGTCAGTCTCCCTCTCTCTCTCTCTCTTCCTCTCTCGGTCTGGTCTGTCTCTCTCGCTCTCTCTCTCTCTCTTTCTCTCTCTCTCTCTCTCTCTATTTCTCCCTCTCTCTCTCCTCGCTCTCTTTCTATCTCTTTGATCTCTCTCTCTCTCTTTCTCTCTCTCTTTGATCTCTCTCTCTTTCTCGCTCTCTTTCTCTCTTTCTGCCCCCCCTCTCGCTCTTTCTTTCTTTCTCTCTCTCTCTCTCTCTCTTTCTCTCTCTCTTTTTCTCTTTCTGTCTCTGTCTATGTCTCCATCTTCCTCTCTCGACCCTCTTTCTCTGATCTCTCTGTATCAGCCCTCTCTCTCCTTCTCTGATCTCTCGATATATGCCCTCTCTGTCTCTCTTGCTCGCTTTCTCTCTCTCTCTCTCTACTGTTGGCGCTCTCTTGTTGTTTATATACCGCTCTTTCTCTCTCGCTCTCTGTTTTTTTTTCTCTCTCTCTCTCTCTCTCGCTCTCGTTTCTTCTTCTATGTCGGCAGATTTGTATATACAAGATTTTACCGGCTCGCTGCGCTTCGCCGTTGAAATCTTGGTCGCGTGGGGCGTGCAGGGTGCGCGAATGCTCCAACCGCGTCTCAGGTGTCCCTGCCGTCCGTGCGGGCACGGGGAGGTTCCCGAAGGATCTCAGGCTGGCCTGAGCTTTTTTCCTGGGGGCTCAAACTCCAAACCTCTGAGCCAGCACGTCAGAAGTCTGGACATGCGACCCGACATGTCCGCAGTCTTGAGGGCGACGACGTGCTGGGGTGCGGGAGAGATGCGCGCAATGATGGCGTTGCAGCCCTCCCCCCCCCCCCCCCTCACGCGTGGTGGGCAAAACACGCGTGCTGGAACTATGGGGGCGCGCTACGCATGCCGGTGGCCACGCCTGCGAAACGTGCAGAGGGCTTCGAACAGCTACCGAATAATTCCTCAGAGGCCTCCGAGAGCATCCACAAAAAACTCGAGCAGATACCCGAGAAACCCACGACCCCCACCTACGGCCTCGCACGGGGGCGAAGTGCGACGAAGGCGAATGCATCAATCGTGAGCTGGCGCCGACGCAGAAGTGTAGGCGGCGCCCGCAGGCAAGTCTTCAAGGGGGGTCGTAGCTGGGGTGTCTTGGGATGCCCTCTTGGGGGCTTCTTGGAAGCTATTTGGGCCTCTTGAGGGCCTTCGGGGCGCCTTGTTGGGCACGTCTTGGGCCCCTTGGGGAGGCCTTGGAGGCCTCTGGGAAGCTCTTGGAGACATCTTGGGACAGAAGGCTCGAAGTGTCGGTTCGTGCACCCCCTTCTTGGGCCCCTCTTGGGGCTGTCTTGGGCCTGGCTTGAGCCGTTTGAGGGGTCTCTTGAGCAGTCTTGGGGCCCTGGGGGGCTGTCTGGGTACTCTCTTGGAGGCCCCTTGGGCCGTCCTGGGGCGATCCTTGGAGCTTCTTGGGCCGTCTTGGAGAGTCGGGATGCAGAGAAAGCGAAAACATTGAAACGCATCAAAAACCGACGGAAAACGTATTGTTTTTGATGCCAGAGGCCTCTTGGGAGACTCCGTTGGGGCTCTATTGGCCCCTCTGGGGGCCGTCTTTAGGCTATCTTGAGGACTTCTTCGGCCGTCCTGGGCGCCGTTTAGGACCCGAGAAGCGAATTTTCGTGCGCTTGGTCTTTCTGGCGCAACGTCTTGAGGAACTCATGGGCTGGCTGGAGGGCCTTCCAGATCGTCCGGCGTGCGGCCAATGAATGAACGCACGGTGTTTACCAGGGTTTTTCCTTTATAAGAAAGGAATGTGCCCGCAAGTGGCACGTGCATGCCCAGCCTCACACAAACAGAACCGCAGCACGTTAGCATCGCAGACCTCAGCCCCCTGGCGGGGGACACAGTCATCGAAACCGATCTCTTTCACGACGTGGAACACGAGGGCCCTACTATGCAGGGGCCCCATCAAGAGGAAGAAGAAGATCTCGCACATGTTGAAGGTGATGAGCTCCACGGCGGTGCTGGCGCTGCAGGAGGTCCATGGTTCGGAGGCGGAGCTCAACCACGAGATTCACCTGGCCCACAAGACCGCGGCCTGCTTCGCCTCCATCCCGAATCGCGGCACTGGTGGTGTCGCGCTGCTCTACCCTGGGCTATCGCCGTCTGAAGCTGCTGATCCTGATCGATTTCGTCACTCGGAACGTTAGCATCGCAGAGATGGGCACGAAAAGGAATATGGAGTCGGATCCAAGGCGGCGGAGGAATCAGGAGACGGCGAAGCAGAGGAAAAAGGAGGGAAGGAGGATACTGAGGACCACCAGGTGGCTGTTGGGAATGTGGGGATGAGGTGCAATGGCGGGATTGCAGTCGAATGCAGGTGGGGTTGCCACACCTTGCAATGAGTGTGGCTGAGACAGGGGGTCCAGACCGTGCGATTACTGCAGTTGAAAACGAGCTCCGAATTCAAGTTTGGGAGGGTGTCTCGAGCGAAGTTGTCGTTATCCAGAACATGAGGGTAACTTTAGATACGTCGGCTTTCAATGCTTGGAGATGTCTTACGCGAAACGGCCAGTTGTCCAAGAACCGCGTCCAACATCATTGAAATCCTGGGTGTGTTTGATGGCTTTACGTTAAGCCATCGAACGTGTGTGTTGTTGTTGTTGTTGTTGTGTTCGTCTCTTGTGTTTGTCTCTCTCTCTCTCTCTCTCTTTCTCTCTCTCGCTCTCTCGTACATACATACACACATAATTTACCCTGCGGCCTATCCCGCCACCGTGCCTGGCTTGCGGGTCAGAGCCCTCAGGGATGCTTCCTGGCGTCTTTGGGGGGGCCTCTAGACTGCAGTTTTGGGGCTTATTGGGAGCCTCTAAGGGGCCTCGCGGGATCTTCTTGGGGGCCTCTTGGGGCTTCCTGGGGGCCTCGTTGGGGCGTCTTGGGGCCTCCTGGGGCCCTCCCGGGGCCGACAGCTCGAAATGTCCATTCGGGCCCCCCCGTCGGGGCCACCTCGTGGAGCCGTCTTGGGGGCCTTTGTGGCAGTCTTGGGCGCACCTTGGGCCGTTTGGGGGCCGTTTTGGGGCCGTCTTGGGCCGTTTTGGGATCCTCTTGGAGGCCTCTTGGTCCGTCTTGGGGCGATCTTGGGGGCCTCCTGAGCCGTTCTGGAGCGTGGGGGCAAGCCGAAAGGAGGGAAGGCCAACATCTGTTTGGAAAATCTAGATGGGGGCCATTCTTTTGCTACGGCCCGTGCCGTCGAGCGAAGTTATGCTGTTCTTCTCGTCTTCCCTCCTCTCCCTCTCCCCACCTAGGAGCTGGGGCACTCGCTGGTCGTTGTGAGGGAGCTGCGCGGCCCATCGCTCAACCGTGCCTGGGCTCGGAGGGAAGGCCTCGGGGCGGTTGGTCGGGTTGTCCCGGGAGGCCGCCTGGGGGAGGGAGTTGTGAAGCCTCTCTTGGAGGCTGCTGGAGAGTTCTGGGAAGCCTCTTCGAGGAGTCTCTGGCCCTGCGGAGGGCCTCCAGGGGCCTCTCATGGGGGGCCTTTTTGGGGCGCTCCAGGGAACGTCTTGGGCCGGTTTGGAGCATTGTGGGGCCGTTTGGGGTGGCTCTGGGACCGCCTTGAAGCCCTCTTGGGGGCCCCGTGGGCCGTTTTGAGGCGGTGTTGGGGACCACGTGGTGCCCTTATGGGCGCCTCTTGGGCCTTTTTGGGCCGATCTGGGAGGCCTCTGAGGCCGTCGGGGACGCTTCGAACAACAAAAGGCGCAACTGTGAAAATACAAATTTTCCCGGGGGGCTATGACGATGTGGCGTATTTGGGCCACCTTGGGCGTCCTTTTGGAGCCCTTTGGAGGCGTCTTAGAGGCTTCTTGGAGCGTCCTGAGACCATTTTGGTGCCAGCTAAGGTCTTTGGAGGCCCTCTGAGAGCGTTCTCGGCCGTCGTGGAGCCGTGGAAAGCCGTCTTGGCGCCTGCCGGCGAGGGCCGAGCCCCCCCCCCCGGTGATGAGTTCACCCGGCGGCCCTCCGTGGCCAACGGGGGGGAGTCAGAGTACAGGTTCGGGCCCCGGGGGGGGGATTATACGGGGGGGGGAAATCTCACGCGCCTATAGGCCCACAAGGTGTTGGCGCATGCCCTGCTTGGGTTCCATCCCCAAGCAGGGCATTCGCCGACAGGGCACGCCATGATGATGATGATGATGATGATGATGATGATGATGATGATGATGATGATGATGATGATGATGATGATGATGATGATGATGATGATGATGATGATGATGATGATGATGATGATGATGATGATGGTGGTGGTGGTGGTGGTGGTGGTGGTGGTGGTGGGTGGTGGTGGTGATGATGATGATGATGATCATGATCATGATGATCATGATGATGCTGATACTGATGCTGATGCTGATGCTGATGCTGATGCTGATGATGCTGATGCTGATGCTGATGCTGATGATGCTGATGCTGATGCTGATGATGCTGATGCCGATGATGATGATGATGATGATGATGATGAAGACGACGACTATGATGACGATGATGATGCTGATGCTGCTGATGATGATGATGGTGATGGTGTTGATGTTGATGATGATAATAATGATGATGGTAATAATGATGGTGATGATGATCAGGAGGAGGAGGAGGAGGATGATGATGATAATGAGTAGGATGAGGATGAGCATCAGGATGTGGCTGGCGATAGTGAGGATGCGTATGAGGATGAGGGTGGTGATGAGGACGATGTTGATGGTGATGCTGATTCTCAAGATGATGATGAGGAGGATGATGATGGTGGTGGTGGCGATGGTGTTAATGATGATGGTGATGATGATGTTGTTGATGATGACGATGATGGTGATGCGAATCGTGATGATTATTAGGATTATATATATGGCAATGATGTTGCTGGTGATGGTGATCATGATGATGACGATGATGATGATGATGACGATGGCCATGATGCTGATGATTATGGTGATGGTGGTGATGATGACGATGATGATGATGCTGATGATGAATATGATGATGATGACGATGGTAGTGATGATGATGATGCTGATGTTGATGCTGCTGATGCTGAAGCTGATGGTTATGATGATGATTGCGACTATGACGATGCCGATGATGATGATGATGATGATGATGATGATGATGCTGATGCTGATGCTGATGCTGATGCTGATGCTGATGCTGATGCTGATGCTGATGATGACGGATGAGAATGATGATGATGATGATGGTGGTGGTGGTGGTGGTGAGGAGGAGGAGAAGGAAGAACACCAGATGGCGTAATGAGAGGAGTAGGAGCAGCAGCAGCAGCAGAAGCAGCACCGTGTGGCATGATGAGGTGAAGGAGGAGCAGCAACAGCAGCAGCAGAAGCAGCAGCACCGTGTGGCATAATGAGGGAGAGGAGGAAGGGGCGGCGGCGGCGGCGTCGTTCTCGTCGTCGTCATCGTCGTCGTCATCATCAGCATCAGCATCATAATCGTCATCGTCGTCGTCGTCGTCGACGTCGAGATCGTAGCCCCGAGGGCCCCAGAATGCTTGCCTGTCCCGAGACCCCCGCGACCCGCGCCGCCAGCCCGGCAGGAGGGCCGCCAGCGTCGCAGTTCCCGCCGCCTGCCCACGGCCGCCCGCTCAGCGCGGTCGCGGTCGTCGTCACGCCTCCCTCCTCCTCCATCCTCTCCTCTTCGCTCCGCCTCGCCCCTCCTCCATCCACCCTACTCCATCCCCCCTCCCTCCTCTTCCCCCCCTCCTCCCCGCTCCATCCCTCCCTCCATCCCTCCCCCCTCCTCCATCCTCTCCTCCTCCCTCCAGCCCTCCCTCCTCCTCGCTCCTCCTCCATCCTCTCCTCCTCCATCCCTCCTCCCCCTCCTTCATCTTCCTATTGCGCCCTCATCCTCCCCTCGAGCGGCCGACATCCTCCCCTCGAGCGGCCGACATGGGATTTGGAGGCACCTCGGGTACGTTCCTGTGCTAAGGCCTAAGTCCTAAGTCTCGGCCCATCCCTGCCCACTTTCCGTGGACCGCGCCCCGCTCAACAAAAGTGGCTTCGAAACGGCCTTCCAAGGCCCGTGCATCCTTGGAGGAGGAGGAGGAGGAGGAGGAGGAGGAGGAGGAGGAGGAGGAGGAGGAGGAGGAGGAGCTCGCGCGCCCTTCTTGCTCTGGCGCTGTCCCTCCTCGCCACGGCGGGGCTCCCCCCGTCGTCCAGCCCTTGTCGGGAAGCGCGCTCCGGGCAGAGAGGCCCGCGGGTCGACGTTTTCGGGGGGCGGCTGGCAGTGTCGTCGTCGTCGCTGTCGTCGTCCCCGCCCGTCCTCCACCTGCTTCGGCCTCCCACCGCCCTCCTCCTCCTCCTCCTTCGGGGGGCGGCTGGCAGTGTCGTCGTCGTCGCTGTCGTCTCCCCGCCCGTCCTCCACCTGCTTCGGCCTCCCACCGCCCTCCTCCTCCTCCTCCTCCTCCTCCTCCTCCTCCTCCTCCTCCTCCTCCCCCTCCTCCTCCTCCTCTTCCTCCTCCTCTTCCTATCCTCCTCAGAGCCGTTCTCCTCGCCACGGCGCCGTCTGGGCCCCCCGAGGCGGCAAGCTCCCGGGCGCGCCGTTCGTGGTGCCCCCGCCGCTGCGCCGGGGGGCGGCGCAGCAGCCGCCCCCGCCCGCCGGCGGCGCCGGGCCGGGGGGGGGCAGCAGCGGCTCGAGGAGCCTCCGTGCCTCCCCGTCAGCGGACGGCGACGGCGATGAGGAAGACGAGGAGGACGAGGAGGACGAGGAGGAGGAGGAGGAGGAGGACGAGGACGAGGAGGAAGAGGACGATGGCGAAGACGAGGAGGAGGATTAAAACGAGGAGGAGGAGGAGGAGGAGGAGGAGGAGGAGGAGGAGGAGGAGGAGGAGATGGAGAGGCACGGTTGCCCAGTACCGTGGCAGGTGTTCCAGCCCTCAGGGGGCCATCCTCGATCGAAAATTCCCATCCCAAAACACCACCTGCACATTTTTTTTACCCATTAGTCCTTGAGATTCCACTGCGACTACTTTCTGCTCCCTCCCTCAAGTGACGCCGTCATTCACCACACGGATGACGTCAGCACCACGGCGACTTCGCCAGCTGCCAACCGCAGTGCCGAGAGCGCGAGCGACGAGCAGCAGCACGCGTATCACTACGTCGAGCCGCAGCAGACACGCGAATTCCTCAACCAGGACACAGGGCACCAGCTCGACCCCAGCACGCCAGCTTCTCGCTGCGCACCACAGCGCACAAAAAACAGCATGTCGTCCATCTGCGGCTCTCACAGTGGCAGCACCATGGGGATCAGCCGCGAGTGGATCAGGAACTACGCCACCACCCTGGAGATCAACATCGAGCCGCACCCCAAGCAGAGGGCCGACACCACGCCCTACACCACCGGCGATTGGGGCAGGCCTCGAGCGCCGGAGAGGCAACTGGACAGAGCAGCGGGCCAACGACCACCGCGACCTCTATTGGAAGCGAGGGCCACAACGGCAAAGGCAGCAACGGCAAGGGCGGAGGAAGCCTCCCTAAGTCCTGTGACGACGACTACGAGCCTGACATCCGCGACCAGAAGGGCAAGGCCAATAACAACAAGGGCAAGGGAAAAGCCAAGGCACAACTCGAACAAGACGACACGCCCAGAAAGAAGGACACCACACAGGACTGCAACAACCGCATCGCCATCATGATCAACAACGTCATGCCGATGCGGGAGGTCTACGGGGGCCGAAGATCAGACTGAGAGCTACCGCCCAAGGACCCAAAGCTCAGAGACGACTGGCCAAAGCCATGGCCCTCAACATTATGCCCTAGCCCAACAAGCCAGGGAAATAGACAACACGAGCGACCCAAGGCGCACCAGCATATGTAACCAAGGCGCACCAGAGCCAGATAGAGAAATACATGAACGAGCTGGACAACAAAACCGACAAGCTCAACACTCTGCAGGGCGATATCAGCATTATCTGGGACGACATCTACAGTGACACGCTCGCCGCTGCTGACGCAGCGACAACAACCACACGGGGACACACCGCAGAGAAGGGCGCCTACACCAGCTCCCAGAAGACAAACAAGGGCGGAGGAGACGGCGGAGGGCCAAGACGCTGGCATGCGACTCAAGACCTTGAGAGGGGACAGCCAACGATTTGCCCACGACAGCAAGAAGAACATGAGCAACGCCGACGCCGAGATCCACGCCCTCAAGAAACACCTACTAGCAGCAAAAGAAAGCGCACAGGAGCATGGTGAAAGACAGCACAAAGAAGCAGCACAAGCCCGTCACTAACAGAACGAGCTGAAGAGTGAGATCGACACCGCGAGGAAGACGAACGACAAACTGGCCGCACATCACGACATGGGCTGTCCGCAGGCACGGCTGCCCGCAGGTACTTCTAAGCACCTGTCCTGCGCAACCCGCAGGCACCTCCTAAATTCCTTTTCCCGGGCTGGCCGCAGACACCTCTCAAGCGCCGTTCCTGGGCAGCCCGAGGGTACCTCCTACCGTACATCGACAACATGTTGCACCATTTTTGCTGTGCATTGGCACCTGTACTGCATTGCTCTTGCCCCCCCCTTCCCCCCGATCTTAATATTGGGTGCATGGCAAAGAGCCCCTGTTCCGCCCGGGGGCTCCCGACAAAATGTTGCACAACCGAGCTGGTTCGGCCAGCCCGGACCGAACCCAATATTAAGATCGGGGGGAGGGGGGGGGGAAACAAACGATTGATATAACAGCGATGCGATTTATTGTCAGCGCCAGGTGGTGCAACATTTTGTCGATGTACCGTAAGTACATTTCCTGGTTTCGTCACGAACCCCACGCCCTCCTTCTCACTGGTGCAACACAAGTGCAACATTGGTTGGGCATCGGTCACCCGCTTGATCGCCATTACATTCCTGGGCAGGTCCATTCGGCAGGCGAGTTGTTACACATTCTTTAGCCGATTCAAACTTCAAGGACCACCGTCCTGCTGGGCAAGTCAATCCTAAAAGACGGGGATCTTCCGCACACGCAGGCTTCGCATCGCCCTTCGAAAAGGAATGGGGCTTATATTGTCCAACCAGGGCATGGATACTTTCTGGTAGCGTAGGAGAACTCGGTGACGCAAGGGGGAGCCTTAGGAAGCGTTGCCTTTTCTTTGGCACCGTTTCTTACCTTGAAATCCGATTGCCAGGAGATAGAGGTAACATGCGGTTACAGCACATTGTCTTCCGAGGTGTCCGGTGCGTTCTCATTTGCCTTTGAAAAAATGAAGGGGGTGTTTATCCTCACCCGCGCTGTACCCATAACAGCATCAGGCCTCCAAGGTTAGCAGCCACTTGTCGATAGAAGAAAGTCGGTAAGGGAAGTCAGCAAAATAGATCCGTCATTTCGGGAAGGGGATTGGCTCTGAGGGTTGGGAATAGGGGTCCTTGGATTTATGCTCGAGTTCGGCAGATGCTATTTGACGCCTTTTGGTTATTTCCGTTCAAGGAACGCCTCTCGGGGCTTTCTCTGCGCAGGGAACACCCAGCCCAGAACTGGAGCGGACAAGGGGCGATGGGCGCCGTTGGGACCTGGAGGGCACGACACTGTCCTCGTCGGGCTTCGTCGGGGCGCGGCGGAGAACTCCGTGGAGGCCCCCGCCTGCCCCCCCGGGGCGCCGGTTGCAAGCCACACCCTGTGCGAGCCACGACCTTCGGAGTCGCCGACCGAGGACAGCCTGGGTCGGCCGTCCGTGGCCGGCACGGCAGGATCTGCCTGGCTTTGGGCGTCGGCTGGCTGCAGGTCCTCGGCGTGGTGCCCTGCGCCTCGATCAACCGCGTGCCAGGCAGGCCCTCAGCCTGCCGTCGGACCAGGAGGTGCTCCTCCTCCTCCTCCTCCTCCTCCTCCTCCTCCTCCTCCTCCGCCTCCTCTTTCTCCTCCTCCTCCGCCTCCTCTTTCTCGTCCCTCGTGGTCCTCCTCCTTTCCTCCTCTCTCGGCCTGGGGGGGGGGTCCGGGGGAGGGGCAAGGCAGGGCGAAGGGGCGAACTTGCAGGAGGGCGGAGAGCAGGAGGTGTGTATCAGCAGGGCGCGTGGGCACCGTCGTCACCACCAGCTCTGGCCACCGGCGGGCTCGGGCCGCCACGCTGAGGGGGGGGGGTTGGGCCCCCCGCCCCCGCGGGCGGCCGCCGCCAGCTCGTCCTGGCGGCCGCCCGATGGCCCCTTGGCATCGCTCGGACGTGTGCATGTTTCCTTCGGCGAGGACCATCGAGGAGCAGCCTTGATCACTTGGCGAAAAAAACCACGCACGAGACCGAACAAGAACACAGGGAGTGGACGTCCGAGCGATGGCGAGGCCCAGGGGTGGGCCCTCGAGCAGACGCTCGTGGCGGTGTTGCCGAGCAGGTCGGGCGCCCACCGCGGGGCGCCCGCGCAGGGGCGGCCGGGGCCGGCCCCCTCTCCTCGGACTCGGGCAGGTTTCGCCGGCTCCTCTTCCTCCTCCTCCTCCTCCTCCTCCTCCTCTCCTCTTCCTCTCCTCCTCCTCCTCCTCCTCCTCCTCTTCCTCCTCCTCCTCCTCCTCCTCCTCCTCCTCCCTCCTCCTCCTCCTCCTCCTCCTCCTCCCTCCTCCTCCTCCTCCTCCCCTCCTCCTCCTCCTCCTCCTCCTCTTCCTCCTCCTCCCTCCTCCTCCTCCTCCTCCTCCCTCCTCCTCCTCCTCCTCCTTCCTCCCCCTCTCCTCCCCCCTCCTCCTCCTCCCCTCCTCCTCCTCCTCCTCCTCCTCCTCCACCTCCTCCTCCTCCTCCTCCTCTCCTCCGTTTGCGGGCCTCAGGGGCCCGTCGGGGGAGCGGGTCGGCCGAAGGCGGACCAGGGTCGGCCGCACCCCCGGATGCAGGGTGGCAGTGGTCGGCATGCCCCCCCCTTTTTATCACCTGTCCTCCTCATCCTTCTCGCTTCTTTCTTCTCTCCTCCCCCCCTCATTCCCCATCGTCATCCATCACTGTCCTGTCTCATCTGCCCTCGGTTCCTCCCTCCACTCCCCCCAGGACCCCCTCGACCTCCCGAAGAGCAGTCCAGCAAGACCTTCGCTGGTCCTCCTCCTCCTCCTCCTCCTCCTCCTCCTCCTCCTCTCCTCCTCCTCCTCCTCCCCTCCCCCCTCCTCACGGCCCGGTGCGGAGAAGACCCGCGCGCCAGGTTTGCACAATGAGCAGTCCTGAGCAGTCCTCCTCCTCTTCTCCCCTCCTCCTCCTCCTCCTCCTCCTCCTCCTCCTCCTCCTCCTCCTCTCCTCCTCCTCCTCCTCTCCTCGTCCTCCTCCTCGTCCTCCCCTCCTCCTCCTCCTCTCCTCCTCCTCCTCCGCCTCCTCCTCCTCCTCCTTCCTCCTCCTCCCCTCTCCTCCTCCTCCTCCTCCTCCTCCTCCTCCTCCCCCCTGCTCCTCAGGAGTCCACGGGGCCGTGCCCCTGCGAAGAACTCCACCAGTGCGCCAGCATGACATCCCTCACTCCTTCCTCCACCTCCTCCTCCTCCTCCTCCTCCTCCTCCTCCCTCCTCCTCCTCCTCCCCTCCTCCTCCCTCCTCCTCCTCCTCCTCCTCCTCCTCCTCCTCCTCCTCCTCCTCCCCCCTCCCTCTCCCAGCCTCCGCGCCCCTCCTTTTCCATCCCCCCTCCCCCGAGCCCCGCAGGAGCGGCAGCTACAGCCGCAGCAGGAGCCGCAGCATCCGCGGGCTGAGCATCAGCAACAGCCCCCGACGGCGAGGCGAACCCCTGCGGGCGGCGACAGCGGACTCGTCGTCGTCGTCGTTGTCGTTGTCGTTGTCGTTGCCGTCGTCGGTGTCCTCGCCCTCGCCATCGTCGACTTCGTCGTGGTGGGAAGAAGTGCGATGAGGAGGGGGAGGAGGAGAAGAGGAGAAGGAGGAGAGGGAGGAGGAGGAGGAGGAGGAGGAGGAGGAGGAGGAGGAGGAGGGGGAGGAGGATCAGGAGGAAGAGGAGGAACAGTGTAAACCCAAGAGTCACCAACGATGTCGAAGTAAACCCTCCCTCAGAGCTCTCTGTTCATAGGCCCCATACAGCGGTTCATTTCCACTGAAGGAACTGTTCCGTTGGAAGACAACCGTTGGAATGCGCTGACGCATGCCAAAACATTGTTCTCGGGATTCCAACGCCACGGATCAACCTGTTGCGTCTGGACGATCCTGATTCATGCCAGAACGCCATTCCTGGGACGTCAACACCGCGAAGCAACGTTACTGTTGCACCCTCAGAATCGGGAGCCCTTCCACAACACAATTGTTGGTATGCTGATCATGGCAGCCCGTAAATCTCTTGCAACATTAAAAAAACGAATGTGCGCGGCGCTTATGCGAGAGCCGCAGTTTCAAAAGGAACCGCCCTCAATCCGTGAAGCTCTTGCAAAGTTTAACAAGGTATGTGCGCGGCGTTAAAGCGAGAGCCACATTTTGGATCGGAACCGCCCTCCAGCCGTGAAAGGCTTGCACATTGTCAAAACGAGCGCACGCGGCGCTACAGCGAGAGCCACATTTTGAAAACGACCCGCCCTGAATCCCTGAAACAAGCGTTTAGAACGAATTTGCGCGGCGCTGAGGCGAGAGCCACATTTTGAAAACGACCCGCCCTCCATATGTGAAACTGTTGCCAATGTTTAAGCTTCAGGGTCATACATGGTGAGGAAGTCTCAGGCGACACGCCCTGCCAGCCCTAAACATTGGCCTCGGGGTGGGACAGGGAGAAATTAGTTATGAGGGACAGCAATGGAAGGGGAGGAGGAGAAGAGGAGGAATAGGAGGAGGAGAAGCAGGGGGAGGAGGAGGAGGAGGAGGAGGAGGAGGAGGAGGATCAGGAGAGAAGGATAAGGAGGAGGAGGAGTAAGAGTAAGAGGAGGAGGAGTAAGAGTAAGAGGAGGAGGAGGAGGAGAAGGAGGAGGAGGAGGAGGAGGACGAGGACGAGACGAGGAGGAGGAGGAGGAGAGGAGGACGAGGAGGAGGGGAGGAGGAGGAGGTGTAGGAGGAGGAGGAAGAGGAGGAGGAAAAGGAGGGGGAGGAGGAGGAGGAGGACGAGGACGAGGACGAGGAGGAGGAGGAGGAGGAGGAGGAGGAGCAAAAGGAGGAGAAGAGGAGGCGAGGGACCACGACGACGACGACGGCGACGGTGGCGGCGGCGGCGAAAGTGGAGGGGAAGGGAGGGGAGGAAGGGGGAGAGGGGGGGAGGGGGAGGGGAGGGGCGGGGAGTCCTGCCGTCCGCTGCCCCCTTACGGGGGTTCAGCTCCGTGCTCCCGCGGCCCCAGGGAAGCCCATGCTGGGGGCGGTCGTGTATCGACCAGGCCTTTCCTCGGCAGGCAACGCCCGTGGGTCCGTCGCCGTCGTCGCCGTCGTCGCCGTCGCCGCCGTCGCCGCCGTCGGCCTCGTCCTCGCCGTCGCCTTCGTCGCCCTCGCCGCCCTCGTCGTCGGCGGCGCCGCCGCGGAGGCCACGCCCGCGGGTCGCGCCCGCGGCGGCGCGGCGCAGCCTGCGCCCCGCACGGTGCCGACCGCCGCGTGCGGACGCCGACGCGGCGGGGGCCGGTGGCGATGCGCGGGACCGCAGCGCGGGCCGCAGGCGGCTCTGCGGCCGGCGGCCTTCCTCGCCACGGCCTCGGGAGCGTCGCGGCGCCATGTGGTTCGCGCCCGGGCCCAGGGGCCCTCACGGGTCGGCGCGGCTCGAGAGGTGCCGCAGAGGGGTGCTCCGGTCGTGGCTTCCAGCGGCGCTGCACCTATCGGGACTCGTGCAGTGATTGCCGGCGACGCCTGTGGAGGTGACTGGAACCTGAGCTCGCGCGAAGCGTGCGCGTGGTTGTCTCTCTCTCTCTCTCTCTGTTTTGTTTGCTTTTCTTTATCTCTCTCTCTCTCTATCTCCCTCTCTCTCTCTCTTTCTCTTTATCTTTCCAAGTCTCTCTCTCTCTCTCTCTTGTTTACTATATATACACACGTGTGTTTTGTTTGCGTGAACTATGAAAAATTGCACAGCCAACCCGCATAGTAAGGATGGGCAGCCTTCCTAAGGGTACCCTCGCATCCTTGCCCCTTCGGTCCAACCTGAACGACTTTCACTGGCCAGCCTCGTTCGAAGAACGTTAACATGGCCCTCCAAGGCCCTTGCATCCTTACCGTACATCCTTTTAAACGGGTTGAATGTACAGATTACATACAAACTGCATTGGCGCTTCGCGCCAGGCACCTTGGTCCCTCAATCCTTGCATCTGTTGGCACTTGGCGCCCTTTCCTTTGGCCTTTGAGCTGTGGCCGCTACCCGTGCAGTCCACTCGCCCGTTCATATTTGTTTTTGCCATCGCTTTACAAATCCATGCGCCACCCGACTTGGGGTGCATTTTGATCCGAATTTCGAGGCGGACCCGATCACGTGGCGCCAGAAGACCACCTGGAGGCTCCGAAAGAACGTCGAAGCTAAAATCGCGTGCCGTCTTCGCGCGATCCTGCGCTGGCTGGTGTCATCATGGCCTGCGCGCCGATGTTTGACACCGCTTGGATCGTTCAGCCGCGATCGATCGCGCATTCCCGTTCCACGCTGGTCGAGTCCTGACCACTGGCCGTGTTCATTCCGAACGTCCGCGCCAGGGCCGCCGCCGCGTCGACACAACGCAAACCGACCGTTGTGGAGGACAAGTTGTTTCCTGGGGGTCGTTCTTGGTCCCCGTGATCATCTGCAGGTTGTTTGCGGATGCTCCTCGTTGGGTTTCGGGGACTTTTGGAGGCCTCCTGGGTGCGTTTTTAGGCCGTTTTGGGGGTCCTGTTGAAGCCCGTGCGGGCCGTTTTGGGGCCCTCTCGGGCCGTCCTGCGGCCTTCTTGGGGAGCTTGGGCCCTCTTGGGGAGCTCCCATGGTCCCCGTGGGTCTCTCTTGGGGGCCTTTGGGGGCCTCGTGGGCTTCTTTGGGGCCGTCTCAGTCTTGGGGTCTTCTTGGCCCAGCTTGAAGCCCTCTTAGGGGCCTGTTGGGCCGCCCCGGGGCGATCTCGCAGGCTTCTCGGGCCGTCTTGGACGCTGCTACGACACAAAAAGCGAAGATGCTGAACATGTGTGTTTCCCCTTGGGAATGGAACGATGTTTGCGTCTTCGGGGCTCTCCTGAGGGCCTCTTGGGCCATTCTGTGGGCCTCTTGGGCCGTCTTGGGGGCCCTTGGGGCCGTCTTGGGGCCGTCTTGCGCTGCCGTGGAGCTCTTGCGCGCCTCTCCGACCATTTTCTGATCGCTTTGAGTTTGCTGGCAAGGCCCGGCAAGGCGCCCTGGGAGGCGCGGCAGGGCTGGGGGGGCCTCATCCAAGGGCGTCCAGGGGGCCCCCAAGCTCCAGATCACCGGGGTCAGGTGTTTTTTTTTTCTTCCTCGGGGGGGAGGGACGGTTTTCCCGCCCCCCCGGCTCATAAAGATATAGGAAGAGGAACATGTATGTATGATCGAAGACACCTACGGCGAATGATTGCCGCCCCTTGCCTTTTTAGGAAGAGCCTATGTGGCCAAACGTTTGGGCAAAGTTTGGCAACGCTATTGGACCATGCGTTTCCCCAGCTGTTGTGGAAGCCCTTCGAGGAACACGCGGGGGAGGAAGAGGAGAATGAGGAGGGGAAGGAAGAAGGAGGATGAGGAGATTGATGAGGAGACCTCTTGGGTTTACCTTGGGTCATTCTTGGGGCCTCCTGGGAGTTTCCTGGGGGCCTCTTGGAGGCATCTTGGGGGCCTCCTTGGGCCTCTTGGGAGCCTTTGGGTGTTTATTGGGGGCCTCTTTGGCCGTCTTACGGCGTTCCCGGCCCGTCTCACGCCGTCGGAAGTCTCTTTGGCCGTCTTGGGGCCTGTTTGGGGCGCTTCAGGGCCGTCTTGAAGACCATCTAGGGCGTCTTGGAGTTGGACGACCTTGGTGCCTCGAGGACCTCTTGGAGGCCTTTTGGACAGTCTTGGGCTGTCTTGCGGCCGTTTTAGGCCGTCTGAGGCGTCAGGGAGGCCCACGAGGGCCCCAAGACGGCCCGACACCGCTCAAGGAGGGCCCAGGATGGCTTCAAGACGGCCAAGGAAGCCCTCAAGACGCCCCACGAGACCTTCAAAAGGACGATCCAGAGGCCAAAATCGTTCCATTCCCGTGGGCGACGTACATGTTCGGCATATCTGCTTCTTTGGTTTTCACAGGGGTCGCAACGGCCCAAAAGGCCCCAAGGATCATTCTAAGACGGCACAAGAGGCCCCCAAGACAGCCCCAAGACGGCCCAAGAGGCCCCGGAGAGCTCCACGACGGCCCAGGAGAGGCCCTATGCGGGCCCACAAGGGTTGCCAAGAGAGGCCGAAGATTGCATTAGGAGGTCACCCAGAGGGCCCCACAGGGGCCCGAGAGGGCCCCACACGGCCCAATCCCTTCAAGACGGCCCAAAAGGGCCTTCCTGGAGGCCCGTGAGGGCCCAAACCGGTTTCCAAGAGAGCCCCAACAAGGCCTCAGGGGGTCCCCCAGAGGGCCCCGCGAGGGCCCCAGACGGCACAATCCCTTCAAGACGGCCCTGGAAGGGCCTTCCCGCACCGTCGACGAGGGTCCCCAGACGGCCCGAGGGGGTCTCTAAGCGACCCTACAGAGCCAGACGGCCCAAAAGAGCATGGAAATCATGTTCGAAAGCACGCGGAGGACATACGCATTGATGTTCGCAAGACGGATGTCATATCTCCCAGATGGCGCTACGTACAAGTAAGATGCAAAGCCGCACAGGCCACCCTTCTGAATACAGAGGCAGGCTTCTGGTGCCTCGTGGCGCTCTCAAGGGTAATCTTGGGGCGGAGGGCTCGAAATGTCAGTCCGACGTCCCCCTCTTGGGGCCCTCTTGTGGCCATCTCGGGGGCCTCTTGGGCCGTCATGGGGCCCTCTTGGGCCGTCGTGCGGGCCTCGTGGAGGCCCCTTGGGCCATCTTCGAGCGATCTCGGCGGCCTCTTGGACCGTCTTGGGGGGCCTCTTGGCGTGTTTCGGAGGCCTCTTCTCTAGGGAGCAGCAGCGCGACAGCACGCGGGAAGCCACGAGGGCGCCCAGAGCTCGGGGCTGCGTGCCCCCTGCAGAGCGTCACAAGAATCAGCGCAGAGGACTCTGAGGGGCCTGAGGACACTCTTCCCGGTCACCCCCTCTTCGGCGCACCCGAGACCCAACCCAGATACCCGACGATACTTTTTTTTCACGCCCGCGCCCTGGATGTCTCGATCGCTGCCCCGGGAGCACCTTTTCGCCCCGGACCCATTTTTGATGTCCTTGGGTGGCCAAAAAATGACAGAGTTTGCGTGCCAGCGCATTTTCTTTTGCGGAGTTGGGCGCCCTGGCGCGGACGGCCGAACGACCCCTGCAGCGGGGCGCCCTGCCCACACGGTCGGCGCCGCAAAAACTGCGCGTTGAAGGCTTGCGCCGCGCAAAGGAGGCGCCGAACGCCCCCCAGGACAGCCCAAGAGAGCACTAGGACGACCATAGAGGGCCCCAAGGCGGCCCATGTTTTTCGCCAGGTTGGTTGCTCATTGTTTGTATGACGCAACAAGGACGTAATTAACACCAAGAGGGATCCAAGACACTGAGCAAGCGATCGCGCGCCCTCACCGAGTACGAGCGCGTTCCGTCCCTGTGTCAAACAGGTAGAATGGCCAAATGTTCGGCAATGTTCGGCCCTAGACGGTCCAAGTCAGCCCCAAGAGCGCTTCAAAGGGCCCCAAGACGGACGCTCCACGAGGCCTAGAAGGACGCCCCAGAGGCAAAGATCGTCCCATTCCTTAGTTCGCATCGGCCCAAAAGGCCCTCAGGATCACCCTGAGCAAGAGGCCCCCAAGACGGCGTCAAGACGGCCCCAGAGGGCTCCAAGAAGGCCGCGGAGAGCTCCACGACGGCCCAAGAGAGACCCCTGAGGGCCCAACAGGGGCCCGAGAGGGCCCCAGAAACGAGAGGCGTGAAGACAGCCGAGAAGTCGTTCCATCCCATCGGCGAGTGGTCCCAGGTATGCCGCGCGTCGGCCAGCTAGTCGCCCCCGTCCCTTTGGCACGGTCAGGGATGCTGGCACTGTTCTGCATCGCTGCGCGTATTCCGCTGGGCGAAGTTATCTTCCGACGAAGCCAGACCTGCCCCAAAATGTTCCAAGATGGTTTGAAGACAGCCACACGAGGCCAACAGGAGCTCAAGAGAGCCCGGAAAAGGGCCCCGAAGGTGGCGAAAATAGGCCCGAGGCGGCCGAGCGGACTTCCAGTCGACCCACGCGCGAGCACGCCCGCGTTGGGCCGCAGCTCCGTCTCATCTTCCACTGAGGACGGGCCGGCATCCTGGCTTGTTGGGGGCCTCGTTCTGGGGGCGAAGTGGGGCCCATATTCGTCGAGCACTGGCCCCAGAGCTCGTCCAAAAGCGGCGGCGAATGATGTTGTGTACGGAAACAAGCTCCGTCTCACCTTCCACTGAGGACGGGCCGGCATCTTGGCCTGTGGGGGCCTCGTTCTGGGGGCGAAGTGGGGCCTAGGCTCGTCGAGCACTGGCCCCAGAGCTCGTCCAAAAGCGGCGGCGAAATCTGCTGCGTACGGGAACAAGCTCCGGAGCAGCCCGGAAGTGAGCCAGAAGAGGCGTCCAGGCGACCCTCGGGGAGGCTAAAATCATTAAACTCCTTGGGAGTTGCTGTGTTTTGAAGGTGCCAGGTTATTGTCGACGTTGCCCCAGGAGGACTCTGGGCGCTGATTTCTACGACCAAAGAGGTGGCCCCGACGGGGCCAACGTGGAGCCCAGATGCGGTCCGAAAGCTTATCGGGAAAACGGTCTGCATTTCGAGCTCGTCTTGGACGCCGTTTGGAAGCCGTCTGGGGGACAGAAGGGGATGGGATGCGGCCAGGCGGCGGAATGGGGGAGGCCTTTTGGGGGGGATAGTGGGTGGGGCTAAAGCCTAAAGCCTCGTAAGGAGCTCTCACAGTTCAATCTCACACGCCCTTCAGCCCGGTTGGTGGGTGGATTCTTCTCGCTTCGCGGGGTGCACGTCCGGAGCACGTACAGTCCAGTCGTTGCGGGGCCTCTTGGGAGCTTCTTCGTGGCCTCCTGGAGGTGTCCTGGGGGCTTCTTGGGGCCTCTTCTGCACGGGGCTTCGTTGGCCCGGTGGGCGGGCGGATCCAAGAGGCGCGCCCCACTCCGCCGACCCCGGGGGCGCGGGATCGTGGCCGTGGGAGCGCGGACCCGGCGTATGTTTCCATGGCTTGCGGCGCTGGGAGCCCGGGCACGCGGCAATCTTCGAGGGGTCGTGGCGCCCGTGAGGGGCCGCGGCTCTTCGAGCGCGGGCCCCGCGAGGTGCACCGGGGAGCGCGGCCCTCGGAGAGCGGGTCCCGCGGAGAAGGCCTCAGAGCAGGGCGGGCTGTCCCGCGGCGTGTCGCCTGGGGCGTTCCGTGGCACGTCCCTTGTCGCGTCCTCTGGCGCGACCCTGGCCTGCGCGTCCTCTGGCACGTCTGCGGCGCCTCCCCTGACACGTGCCGTGGCGCATCCCATGGCACGCGCTCTGCTTGGCACGCTGCACGTGTCCTGATGCGTCTCCTGGCGCCTCTCCCCTAGCACGTCTCCTGGCGCGTCCACTACTGCGCCCCCTGGCGCGTTCAGTGGCGCGTCCCGTGGCACGTTCGCTGGCTCGTCTCTGACGCGTTCCCTGGCTCGTCCTCTGGCGCTTCTCCTGCCTGTTCCGTGGCGCGCCCCCTGGCGCGTCCCATGCCACGTCCCCTGGCGCGTCCACTGGCACATTCCATGGTATGTCCCCTCGCATGGTGTTCACTGGCACGCCGCCCAGCACGCGCCTTGGCAGGTCCCGTGGGGCAAGTCCTTGACACGCATGTCGCACGTCCCCTGATATGTCCCCTGGCGCGTCCTATGGCGTATTCCCTGGTGCGCCCCTGGCACATCCCGAGGCGCGTGCATGCGCCCTGTGCCCCCTGTCGTGCCGTCCCGTGTCGGAACTGAACCAGATCGTGAGCTCGAGCTGGCTGGGTGACCCGCACGTTTCGATTACAACCAGCTCTGGGCGGGCCATGCGTTGAGGCAGCTCGCGCTAAAGATCCAGATCAGTTCGGTCAAGCTGCAGACGCCAAGGACGATGGGATCCGTAGCGCAGTACAGCACAGCGCGGTATGGAACAGCACAGGAGACAGGACGCCGCTAAAAGAGTTGCCCTTTATTTCAACCCTCGTCAAAATCAACCTCAAAAATGTCTGACGTGGTTGAACTGCTTGTCGGAAGATCTGGGGCCGAGTACCGATGAGAACGGGGTACTTGCATGCGCCGCCCCTCCAATGTCGGTCGACGTCAAACTTTCGAGTCAACTTCGGTCAGACTATCTTTGCCCTCGCCCCGACATTGAAGGGGCGGCGTGTCGACATTTAGGGGCGCGCCGAAATCGAAATGACGTGCCATTTTGACGAGGGTAGTAGTAACTCCGAGCACCCAGTGGTACGTTGGAGGTTGCACTCCTGTATATCGTGGTGTGTGCCACTGCCAGCTCCTGACACGCGCAGAGCCGAGCCCAATCCGACCCTTCGAATCCTGCGCCTCGTCCTCCCTACTCGATCCCGCTCCTCCTCCTCCTCCTCCTCCTCCTCCTCCTCCTCCTCCTCCTCCTCCTCCTCCTCCTCCTCCTCCTCCTCCTCCTCCTCCTCCTCCTCCTCCTCCTCCTCCTCCTCCTCCTCCTCCTCCTCCTCCTCCTCTCCTCCTCCTCCTCCTCCTCCTCCTGTCCTCCTCCTCCTCCTCCTCCTCCTCCTCCTCCTCCTCCTCCTCCTCTTCCTCCTCCTCCTCCTCCTTCTCCTCTTCCTCCTCTCCTCTCCCGGCTCCCTCCTTCCTCGCTTCCTCTTTGCGCCCCTCTGGAGACTTCCGGGTACCTCCGACGACACTGTGGCGACGGCGATTGCGGCGACCAGTGACTCTGGCGACTGGTGCCTCTGCGGCGGCGGCGGCGGCGGCGGCCGCGCGGCCGCCCTGCAGGCCACGACCCGCTGCCACCCTTGAGCGCGCGCGCGCGCGCCCGTGCCGCCAGGGCACAGAGGCGACGAGCTGAGAGCCTGGCTGGACGGCCTGGACAGGGGAGGCGCTTCCCCCGCGAAGTCGTCGTCGTCGTTGTCGTCGTCGTCGTCGTCTCCGCCGCCGCCGCCGCCGCCGCCGCCGCCGCCGCCGCCGTCGTCGTCGTCGTCGTCGTCGTCGTCGTCGTCGTCGTCGTCGTCGTCGTCGTCGTCGTCGTCGTCGTTGTCGTCGTTGTCGTCGTAGTCGTCCTCGTCCTCGTCCTCGTCCACGTCCTCGTTCTCGTCCTCGTCGTCGTAATCTTCGTCGTCGTTCTCGTCCTCGTCGTCGACCTCGTCCACGTTGTCGTCATTATCCTCGTGCTCGTCTACACCCTCGTCGTGGCTCTCGTCCTCCTCCTCCTCATCATCATGATCCTCCTCCTCCTCCTCCTCCTCCTCCTCATCCTCCTCCTCCTCCTCCTCCTCCTCCTCCTCCTCCTCCTCCTCCTCCTCCTCCTCCTCCTCCCCGTCGTCGTGGCCCCCGTCGCCGCCGCCACCGTCGTTGCCGCCCCACACTCCACCCGCAGGGCGCCTGGGGAAGAGGGGGGAGGGCCAGAGCTGGAGCAGGAGAGAGGGTGGTCCTCCTCCTCCTCCTCCTCCTCCTCCTCCTCCTCCTCCTCCTCCTCCTCCTCCTCCTCGAGCTGGCCGAACGAGCTGGCCGCGGCTCGCTTCTGCGCGCGAGCCCTGGCTGGGGTCGGACGAGGGGAGGGAGCCGGCTGAAGAGTCTAGGAGGCACCGGCAGGAGGTGAACGACCCCGGGGGCTTCCCGGGGGAGGGGTGGAGGGGCGCGGGTGGGAGGCTGTTCCAGGCGGCCGTGGCGGGCTCTAGGGGAGCCTCAGGGGCATTCCTAGGGGGCTTCGCGGGAGCAACCGACTTGTCCTGGCGGAGAACCCAGCCATCTGCAATCGCGAATAGCGCGGACAAGGTCTCTCTCTATCTCTCTCTGGAGCTTTGCCACCAGGACCGTCGGTGGAGCTCGATGTGGGGCCACAGCGCCTCAGTGGACGGGGAGGCGCCACGCGAACATGCTCACAAGGACCTCCTGGTGGAACTCCCCATGGGGGCACGAACCGCGTGAGGGATGTACCTAAATGGGCGGGGGTGCGCATGTAGACTCGCCCGCTAGGGCCTTCCGGTGGAGCTCCCTGTGGGGCCACGAAAAGTGTGAGGAGTGTACCGAAATCGGTGGCGCGGACGCAGGCGAACATGCCCACTGGTGTCTTCGGGTGGAGCCCCTTGGGAGGCCACTGAACATGTGAGGGGTGTGCCGGCATGGTCGGCGGGGACGCATGTGAACTTTCCCAGTGGGGCCTTCGGTGGAGCGCCACATCGAGCCACGAAGCGTGTGAGGGGTGTGCTTTAATGGGCGGCAGGGGCGCATGTGAACTTGCCCACGGGGGTCTTCGGTGGGGCCACGAAGCGTGTGAGAGTGTGCCGAAATTGGCATGCGAAGAGAAGGGACAGACAGGGGAGGGGGGCAACGGGAGGAGATGCTGGGTGCTGATGATTCACAACGAGGGCCCGACACCACAGGATGGCTTGAAAAAATCTAGGGGGGGTCCCAGGATCGGGAGGACCAGGGGGGGAAGGTGAAGGATGATGGGCGAGGCGGGATGGGGACGGGCCGATCGTTCGCCGGCTCCGCTCGTCGGGAGGCAGTGCTCGCCAGCGCAAAAAAGCAGCCCCCCCTCCCCCCCCGCCTTACGGGAGGACGACGGCGATGAGCCCACTGCGGGCGACCAGCTTTCCCGACAAATGCGCCCACCACTTTCACCTTCATCAGCGAGCGCACGAACAGCAAGAAGTGATGGACTCAAATGATAATTGAACCTCCAGGGGCGCACCTGCACAGACACCAACGACCTCCTCCTGTTCCGTTTCTTGCCCCACGCCGTCCGTCGCTGCTCATTCATCTCGTCTTTGTGTTCCTTCCTCCGTCGTCGCCGCTGATCTTGCCAGCGTGCACGGCGTCGAGAGGGGCAGGAGGCCCCGGGGTCTCTAGCCGCTGTCGGTGACGACGTTGCCCCCCCATGCTGGGCTCCTGTTCCGTTTCTTCCTCCCGTGCTGACGTTTTGTGTGTGTATCGCCCTGCACGTGCCCAGGCACGCCAGAATCCAGAGGCCACGGCCTCGCCCACCTGGTCTGCGCCAGGCCTGGACTGATGGGCCTGTTTTCCACCACCACCACCACCATAGGTTGGAGGGGGAGGGGCTCCTCCTCCTCCTCCTCGTCCTCCTCCTCCTCCTCCTCCTCTTCCTCCTCCTCCTCATCCTCCTCCTCATCGTCCTCCTCCTCCTCCCTCTCCGCCTCCTCCTCCTCCTCCGCCTCCTCCTCCCCCTCCAACTTATGGTGGTGGTGGTGGAAAACGGGCCCATCCTGGACGCTGGTCCGCAGCGGTGGTCGTTCGTCCGTTCGTGCATCCAGGCGGGCTCGCTGCCAACGGGCTGCCTCCCAGCTCTGGGGCAGAGGGGACGACCGGCCGGCGGCCCCGAGCCCCGCGGCGCTGGCGGCCGCAGCGGATGCGGCCCGGCGCGGGGCCTGGCCCGGCCCGTTCGATTCGATTCGGTATCTCCGTGGAGAGGATTTATCCACAACCACCGCCTGGGGGGTCGATCTTCGCGGACCTCCAATGTGGATATATTTATATTCTCCAATCAGAGCTTGCTTCTGTAGGGGTCCTAGCGGATTCATATGGTTAGGTTAGGTTTGCCGCCGATTTTCGCAGCACGCCCGGGTGCCCGGGTGCCCGGGGGTGCCCAGGTGCCCGGGTGCCCAGGGTGTAGTTACCCGGGGGTGCCCGGGTGCCCAGGGGGTCCCTATATAGCCCAATAGTCCAATAGCAACTCTATAGCCCTATAGCTCTATAGCCCTATAGCTCAGTAGCCCTAAAGCCCTATAGCTCCCTAGCCCTATAGCCGTGTTTGGGTTTTTCTCCGGTATCATATATATATATATATATATATATATATATATATATATATATATATATATATATAATTATACATATATATATATATATATATATATATATATGTTCGCCCCCAGGACCAGTATATATTCATATCCACCGCCCGCTGGGGCACCAGGACGCCGGTTCCCAGGCGGTGGATCTGGACGAACCCCCGCCCCGCAGCATCGATGCCGGAAGGGCTCGATCCGATTCGATTCCGGTCCTGCGGCCAGGACGCCGAGATGAGGGCCACGATGGGTCCGCGCCGGGCTCGCCCGTTCGGGCCGATCCCTCGACGCCGTCGATGCCGGAGGGCTCGATGAGACCGCGGCTCCGGTCACACAGCCACGACGCGGAGAGGAGGACCACGTTGGGTTCGGGAGTGGCTTATAGTCGGGTATAGCCACGTTGGGTAAGAGAGAGAGAGAGAGAGACCACGGAGAGAACGTATAGCCACGTTGGGTCCGCTTATAGCCACGTTGGGAAAAGTTGGGAAAAGCCACGTTGGGTTAGCTTATAGTCGGGAGGACCACTTTGGGTTCGGGAGTGGGTTATAGTCGGGTAAGGGGACCCGGTGAGTGGTAGGGCCCCGGAGCCCCTGAACTGGCCAGAATCGCTAAAGCAGGTCTGCCGCAGCTGGTGTTTTTGCGGGTGACGGCAGTTCCGGCTAGTGAAACGGGGCGGGGGGGCTACACATCATTAAACCAGGTCCCACCAAGCCCAGTATTGCCAACGCCCGACTCTGGTTTTCGGGCCGTTCCCGAGATCTGCGTCGAGGAGCCTGCACGCTGGCCGTAGAGAAAGGAGGTATTTCTGGACTCCCAGATCCCATATCTACTTCGACCGCCCTCCTGCTGCAAGGATCGATATGCTTTTGCTGTGCTTTGTTGTCCTCTGGGCGACCCCGAGGCCAGTCTACTTTACAGTGGAAGCCCATGCCAAGAAACACACTGCTGGCCTCCAGGATGCCCTGGGCTTCTTGGGTTTCGATGGTTTTGCGACGGGGAACGCGACGTTCCCACAACAGAAATGTGTTTCTCGTGGAAGGTCGCCTGTGGTCGAAGTCCTGCTGCATCCGCCCTCCTGGTGCACGCTTCCCACCTGCTTCCTCCGCCTGGCGGGTCTGGTCGAGGCCGAGGCGCGGCGTGGCCAGGAGAGCAGCCCCCTCGCTCCTTCTCTTCCGCGCTCCCTACGGCACCGCACGGCGGCGGCGACGCTGACCACGACGACGACGCTGACCACGACGACGACGACGCTGACCACGACGACGACGACGACGACGACGACGACGCTGACCACGACGACGACGACGACGACGACGACGACGACGACGACGACGACGACGACGACGACGACGACGACGACGACGACGACGACGATGCGGCCCGATGTTTGCGCGGCGCTGCTGTGCATCCCGGCGCCGCCGATCCGGCCCGACCTCGGCTCCGTGCCGCTGCGGCCCGGCTCGACGCGCGAGCCGATCCGATCCGACCTCCCGATTCGCTTGGCATCGCTCGGACGTGTGCATTTTTCCTTCGGCGAGGACCATCGAGGAGCATCCTTGATCATTTGGCGAAAAATCCACGCACGAAACCGAAAAAAACACAGGGAATGGACGTCCGAGCGATGGCGAGTCACCGCCCACCAAACCACCCCAACCCAACCCGAAGGCCCCGATTCGCCCTCCATTTCTGGTGGGGGGGGGTCGGGGAACATTGACAAAACCTATGGTTCCGTACCCCCCCAAACCCGAAATTCGGCTGAAATTATGGTCTTCGGGTTGGGTTGGGGTGGTCTGGTAGGTAGTCACCTCCTACCGGCCTGGGACAGATCCCTACCTCTACGACTGGCATCGCCTCGTCCCGATGCCGGTCTTAGGGATTCTCTCAGTTTATGAGGCCGCATGCTTGAGATGGTCATCGCCTTGGGGCCGGTCAACCTTGGGGATAAGGGGTAAGCTCGAGGCGGGCAACCCTACCCCCACCGCCCCCCACCAGCTGGCAAGATGCTGGAGTACCTGGAGCCGCTGCGGCTACACTTCGGCGCGCACGCCCCTTCCCCACCCAGGGAGGGTCGGAGTAGGGACAGAGGGAGGCGAGGAAGGCGGAAGGGATGGAGGGTGGATGGGGACGGAGGGGGGGAACAGAAGGATGGGAGGGGACAGAGGGGGCGGAGGGGATGGGGGTGGAGGGGCGGAACGAGGGAGGGTGGAGGGGCAGAGGGAGGCAAGGCAGAGGGAGGGTGGAGGGGGCGGAGGGAGGCCACAGAAGGATGTGGAAGCTCTCACGTTTTTTCCCCAACCATTCTGTGGTGTTGAGTCTTCGTTTTGAAGAGACAGCACCCCGCGTTCCTTACCTCACCTCACCTCCCGCGTTCCTCCCTCCTCCCCCTCCTTGACCCTGCCCTCCGCATGTCTCTGTTTCGGCACACCCAGTACAGCGCATGTCTCTGTTTCGGCTCCACCGAATGCCCCAATGGCAGGGTTCGCATGGCGCCACCGCGCCCATTTCGGCACACCCCTCACACGTTTCCCTCCCCCATAAGGAGCTCCGCCGAAGGCCCCAGTGGCAGGGTTCGCATGGCGCCACCGCACCCGTGCTGGCAAACCCCTCACACGTTTCGTGGCCACACAGGGAGCTCCACCGAAGGCCCCAATGGCAAGGTTCGCATGGCGCCACCGCATCCATGTCGGCACACCCCTCACACGCTTCGTGTCCCCATAGGGCGCTCCACCGAAGGCCGCACTGGCAAGGTTCGCATGGCGCCACCGCGCCCATGTCGGCACCCCCCACGCGCTTCGTGGCCTCACAGGGAGCTCCACCGAAGGCGGGGCTCACAGCTGCGGTACTCACAATTGCATATGGTTGGGTTTTTCGCCCGGATATTTTTTGTATGGCAACCAACCGTCGTAGAACACACTGTACTTTACGACAGCCACTAGTCACACAAAAAACGTGTGATGTTCCATATCAGCATGCCGATGGAGGGATGGATTGATGGGCGGAGGTCCTCCCAGCGAGGTGGCATGCTGAGACTGCGGGCACAGCCTCTCTAACACGAAGTTGCGGGGCCACATGGTCGTCCAACAACGGCCCAGCAGCGTCGACCCCGGAAGAGGGGTTCCCTCTCGAAGGGGGGCGCAGGGCAGGATGGGGGAGGGCGGGAAGGCCATAATGCCGTCACGACGACAGGCCCGCCCCGACAGAGACGCGAACAAGTTCACATTCGACAGAACGCCACAACTCGCCCAACACAGACTTCCACCACGGGGGGCCAAAGCCGGCATCGAATCCAGGGCCGTGCCATTCATCATTCTCACCGCGGACGAGAAGCACGACCGCGTCCAGGACACGCGCAACCGCGCAGGAGCAAAACAGCCGGGAAGGTACCGCCGCCGCGTGCACATTTTCGCGCAGACCACGTTTTCCTCGCAGGCGCGCAAGGTACAGGGCGCAAGCAAGGACAACATTGTGCCACGGGCGTCATAGCGATCCACTCTTGACCTGGCGAAGACAATGCGGACGCAGCTTCTTCATCATCTTTAAGATAAGCCATGCCACAGAAGGGGAAGGACTACTACACCAAGGACAAACACATAATCATACGGTTACGAACGCACCGACCTCTGATCGTACGAGTGGACGCCCAGTGCTGCACACACACACACAATCATAGTTCGCCACGAGCCAGCCATGCATACCCAGACGGCTACAAGACATGCCTACTGGCAGCTACTCACAAACGCAATTCGCACATTGGAGCCGTCAGAATTATTTCTCGATAGCAACGGTAGGTCTGGCAGGTAGATGCCTCAATGCATCGGGTATGAAGGATGGAGCGAGAAACGAAAACGGCGCACGCATGCATCGCGCGCTCGCCGAGACGAACACGCACGCAGCAGCGGCGAACGCGCCTCCACCGCTCGAGGACAGCTACGCACGGTAATCGGTGACCGAGGGCCCCCATCGCATTACGGATTACATCATCGTATCAGAACAACTAGCCACGCGCGCGGTCAACGGCGCTACCCACGGAGATCACGACAGGATGGCGGACAAGGGGGGCCGCCTGCCGACAACCGCTGACTTTGAGGGCAAGGTCTACGCAGCCCGCCATGTACACGACGGCTTCCTGCACGACAAGGCCAAGCTACGTGACCCAGTCAGCGCGAAGAAGTTTGGAGACCTACTGGGGGCGCAAAACCTGCCTTATTCAGAACACCGGCGTCAACGCCCACTTCATGACCATGGCCGAGCTCGTTACGTCAAGCAGCCGAGGAAATCAATCGGAGGACAGCCAGTTCCCCGAACAAGTGCGAGGCAGAGACGGAGGCGATGCGGCCCACGCGCTTAGGCAGACATGCACATTTTGCCTACAGAGACCTCCTCGGAGGATACCCAGCTTTTGGTAAACTCTCTGTCTACACGCAGCTGCATTCTAGCACAGACCCGGAGGGCACCTGGTACCTGGGCGCCCTCGAATTCGCGCATGCCAGCAGAGACTACCGCGCGCGAAAACATTATGCGCAAGATTGCCTTCGAAGAACGGAATGCATCGTCATTGTCGCTGAGGTCGCGCGCGTAGAAGTGTTGGAGAAAGCCGATGCTCGTACTTCAAGACGACCGCTGCGGAATTTGCCTAATCCGCTGGGCAACGCGCAGTGAGCGCGGAATCTCACCCATCAGCTATCCCGAGCAGCAGGATATATAAAGGTAAAAACCAAGCATCGCAGATTGCCGCAGCCAGGCGCGACGAGCACTAGCAGCCGATCCGCGAGCACTAGCAGCGGGGACAGCAGAGGGCGAACAACCCTGCCAAGCAAAATAGAAGAGGCACAAGACATGGATTGGGATAGCTATGCCAAGAGCCAGACGCTTCACAACGCATACTGCGACCAGCTTACCTTGGAAATGGTGATGCCAAGGGAAGAACGCGTGACGACCGAGCTACAGGACCAGAAGGACACTGCGGCGATGTGGGCGCTGCGGCACCACAGGCGATGGCAAGGTGTCTGCAGTGTATACAGAAGTGGCATTATTACAACAAGAAGCGTTTCTTCTAAGAAGAGGAGTAGCAGCCGACGTCTCCAATGACGAAGGCGCGCAGGGCGAACGCCATCGATCCAAACTGGCGAGGCCTCGCATCGCGAAGAACCGTTCCGCGCGCGTCAGGACCAAGCTGTAGAACGCGCTCCGTGCCATCCATATAGACCGCGTGTGCGCAAGACGGAAAAACTGAGGGACGACCACGGCTACGCATGTTACAGGATCACTATTCTCTGTCACGTCACGTGCACAACGGGCACTACGACCATGCTACCACGCTACGAGTTGAAGAACGCGTACTACGCTGTCAACATAGAGGTGGCGTGCCCATGAATACAGACTGACTGGTACCCTCCAGAACAAGCTCAGCACCTATGGAATACCAGGGCAGTTCAAAGGCATCGTCGAACTACTCCCGGCAGTAACCAGCGTCAACGCCCCCCCGCACCTTGGGTCACTACTGGCACACGCACACCTGGACAAATGGTTCACAGCCAGGGAACTGCCAAGCCGCGACAAGTACAACAGGGTCGAGACCAGGTGCAAGTCTAGCCGGCTACATGTTCAGCGCGTTATATGTTGAGACCCCCATTCCCACGCGAGGCAGGCTCGCAGATGTAGGACTACTACTTGATATCTCCCGGTACGATTGTGCACATGACAGCGCAAGCTGGCGAGGGGGGCCCAATAGGTCACGGCAGTGCTTACGCGGGAAACATTGGATTCTTCACCATCATCGGAGACATCTAGACGATAGAGCCCGCAAGCGCCAGCTTAGTTCAGGCAGCGAATGGCGGTCTACTCGATTATTCATTAATTCCGGGCTACGACCTGGGTAAGACGCACGTCCTTGTACCAGCACATGGCAAGAGTTCAAGGGGCAGCAAAGCATGCCGTCTTTGGCGGCGACCAAGGACGGTTACCAATATTGCGAATGGACGTGACCATCGACATCGCGACACTGGTCAAACATCTGGGCCAGAGATACGCCATCGACAAGACGCTAGGCCAGTGATGCGTCATCGTCAAGGACAAACCTCGCAGGCAAGCGCTCCTCTCGCCAGAGCCCCTCTCACCCAGCAGCGCAATGAAACCGTGAGTTTTTTTGTTCAACTAGCAGGCGCCCTGGCTCAACCCAGACTCACTCGCAGCGCAGAGACCTGGCCAAGGCCTACAGCAAAAGAACCGGCATCAGTCCATTCTTATGTGCACCAGGCTCTACGGGTCGGCGCTGACTACACCGAACCACGAGCAGCACGCTAACAAGATCGCCGACAGCGACATCCTCGACTGCGTGGACAGATGGGACCCATATGTCTTCTCAGAGCGAGGAAATTCACATATAGTTTGCCGGTTGCTACGACATATACAAACTACTTATTCTCGATGTACTGGTGCACCTGGGGGGGGGGGGGCGGGGCAGAACAACTCGGGCGATTCCCCAGTGACTCGCGCGCTTTCAAGACCAACGCGCGCCCCGCAAGCGCATCGGATTGCGCGAATGGACGGCCGAGGCGAAGGAGAACGCAGACGAAGCAGGCAGTTGTTCGAGCGCAGAGTCCAGGGCAGCCGCGCAGTGGACGAACGATCGAGTAGCGCCCATCGCAGGCATAGCGCAGGTTATAGGTTATACCATTACCGACTCCAGGGGGCAAAACCGCCACCTGAGCACGCCCCGCACCCCGCAGTGGAACTCGGATATGCATGCGCGCACTGCCCACAGACATTGGCCACCATGGGCGCGCGGTCACTATGCATGACGCACTGCCACCCAGACCCGGACCACGCGCGCAACTGGATGGTGATAAACGTGATGCGAAAGAAGCGAAAGTGCGCCTTTTTCGTCAGACACTACTTTCACCGGTTACGACATGATAGAGCACGAGAACTAGATCAACCGGATCAGGACCTTGCTACGGCACTGCGCGGAGACTACTGCGAAGCGAAGGTCAAGGAGCCAGCTATCATATAGCAACACACGGAGCCAATGATCTGAT